GAGACGGGGTTTCACCATGTTGACCAGGATGGTCTTGATCTCTTGACCTCGTGATCCACCCGCCTCGGCCTCCCAAAGTGCTGGGATTACAGGCTTGAGCCACCGCGCCCGGCTTTTTTTTTTTTTTAAGATAGAGTCTCATTCTGTCACCCAGGCTAGAATGCAGTAGCTTGATGCACCACACCCAGCTATTTTTTTTTTTAAAACAAGAGTTTCTCTCTTGTTGTCCAAGCTCAGTGCAATGGTGCAATCACGGCTTACTGCAACCTTTGCCTCCCAGGTTCAAGCGATTCTCCTGCCTTAGCCTGCTGAGCAGCTGGGACTTCAGGCGTGCGGTACGACACCTGGCTAATTTTTTGTATTTTTAATAGAATCGGGGTTTCACCATGTTAGCCAGGCTGGTTTTGAACTCCTGACCTCAGGTGATCCGCCCACCTTGATCTCCCAAAGTGCTGGGACTACAGGCACCCAGACATTCTTTTTTATTTTTTAACCATCCAAATCCTTTTCCATATTTCATTTCCTCCCTAAAGCTGACCATTTCCTATTTCCTTTCTCTGATGCTACTGAAACCATTATGTGATTTTACTTATTATGTCAACGTAAAAAGGGGATCCTTGTACCACAGCATCCCAGAGTGATGTTCAGTTAGTTGTTAGCAATACCTTTGTTCCACTGAGATTGCTTTGTGATGACAGGAATTTGGAATCTTCAGGCTTCTCCTTATCTTACCTGAATATTCATAGAGCTTACTGAAAGATCTGTTCTCCAGAACCTTTTAAAAAAAAAATTGGTTAGCTGGGCATGGTGGCACACGCCTGTAGTCCCAGCTACTTGGGAGGCTGAGGCAGGAGAATTGCTTGAATCCAGGAGGCAGAGGTTGCAGTGGGCCTATAGAATTTCAAAGCATTCTCTGGCATTTCTTTATGCCTTTATAGACCCTTTAACCAAATACAATTTACATACTTCCCATATAATAAGTTTCCTTTTTCAGTGAAATATCTTTTCCGTCTGGTGAATTCCGCCCATCAGAATGTTAGTGACAAAGTATCTTCCTCAAAATATTTAAACAAAAACAGTAAGCTTACAATGGAGAACTCTGGAAGACACCATAGCATCACCAATAATGTACAGTATATTGACATTATGTACCCCTGATAGGATGCATTAAGAGGACACATCACTTTGGTTTTCTTCCTAGTAATGTATAATTTCAGTCTAATCATGAGAAAACATCAAAGAAACCCAAATTGAGGGAGAGTCTACAAGATAATTGACCAATATTCTTCAAAACTGTCAAGGTTTTTTGTAAACAATGGTTTCATTTAAAAAAACAAGTGTCAAAGTTTTGAAAGAGGAAAAAGCTGAGGAACTATTAGAGATTGGAGGGAACCAAGGAGGTATGACAACTAAATATTTTGGGATACTGGAACAGAAGAAGGACATTGGTGGAAAAACTCGTAAAATCTGAATAAAGTCTGTACTTGTACTGATGTTAATTTCTTAGCTTTGATGACTCCCTATGGTTGTATAACATGTTAACATAAGGGGAAGCTGGATATAGGGCATATGGGAACTCTGTACTATTTTTGCAACTCAGCTATAAATCTAAAATTATCTTTTTTTTTTAAAAAAAAAAAAGGCAAAAAAAGTACAGGATCCAAAAAGTAAAGATAGGAACTATTGGCTCCTGTGTTTGTTTTTTTTCCTCCTGTTTCTGGACCTAATGACTCTTGACAGTGTAAACCCTAGGGATGTGTCTGTCTCAGGCTGGTTTCCAAGTCACGCTTTACTTCTGTAGGCCTGGTCTACCTTCTTTTCTTTGCACCTCTACTAGTTTTTGCTTCTTCTAAATAGAATTATTCTTCTTAATTTACTCATTTCTTCTTTTAGAAGTATTGTACAAGTATCTTTTTGGAAAAAATAAAACTGGCTGGGCACAGTGGCTCACACCTGTAATCCCAGTACTTTGGGAGGCCGAGGTGGGTGGATCATGAGACGTTTGAGACCAGCCTGACCAACATGGTAAAACCCCGTCTCTCTTAAAAAATAAAAAATAAAAAAAAATTAGATAACAATAAATTGTGCAAGTCTTAAGTGAACAGCTTGCTGAATTTTATGTATACCATACAGTTGGCCCTCCATGTCCATGGGTTCTGCATCCATGGATTCAACCAAACTCAGATGGAAAATACTCAGAAAAAACTGTGTCTGTATTGAATATGCACAGACTTTTTTTCCTTGTCATTATTCCCTAAACAATGTCCTATAACAACTATTTACATAGCATTTACATTGTGTTAGGTATTGTAAGTGATTTAGAGATGATTGAAAATATAGAGGCCAGGTGCAGTGGCCATGCCTATAACCGCAACATTTTGGGAGTCTGGGGTGGGCAGATCACCTGAGGTTGGGAGTTAGAGACTAGCCTGACCAACACGGAGAAACCCCATCTCCGCTAAAGATACAAATTTAGCTGGGCGTGGTGGTGCATGCTTATAATCCCAGTTACTCTGGAGGCTGAGGCTGAGGCTGAGAATCACTTGAACTGGAGAGGCAGAGGTTACAGTGAGCCGAGATCACACGATTGCATTCCAGCCTGGGCAACAAGAGCAAAATTCCGCCTCAAAAAATAAATAGCCAGGAATGGTGGCTTACGCCTGTAATCCCAGCACTTTGGGAGGCTGAGGCGGGTGGATCACCTGAGGTTGGGAGTTAAAGACCAGCCTGGCCAACATGGAGAAACCTCATCTCTACTAAAAATACAAAATTAGCCAGGCGTAGTGGCACATGCCTGTAATCCCAGCTACCTGGGAGGCTGAGGCAGGAGAATTGCTTGAACCCGGGAGGCGGAGGTTGCTGTGAGCCGAGATTGTGCCATTGCACTCCAGCCTGGGCAACAAGAGTGAAACTCCATCTCAAATATAAATAAATAAATACAGACAGACAGAAAGGATGTGCATAGGTTATATACAAACACTATGCCATTTTATATCTGGGATTTTGGTATCCATGGGAAATCCTAGAACCCAGCTCCCAAGGATACTAAGGGACAACTGTATGCACATGCACATATACTCTCTCACACACACACACGTAACCATTACTAAGATCAAGATACAAAACACTTCCAGCATTTGACAGCATTTCTTACCATTTACAAATACCCCTTTAAGAATCTGATAAAAGTTATAATTATTCCCAGAAAAATGCCCATGTACAGATAATGTGTAAAATTTTTTTGTATGATTTCAGGGTAGTCTCAAGGACTTCTTAAAGCTTGTCTCTGGACTGAGAGTTTATAGATAATAGGATAAGAATCCATGTGGATCTCAGCTGGTTCTGGTGGCTCACACTTGTAGTCCCAGCACTTTAGGAGGCCAAGACAGGAGGATTGCTTGCATCCAGGAGTTTGAGACCAGCCTGGGCAACATGGTGAAACCCCTTCTCTACTGTGTCTACGAAAAAAATAAAAATAAATTTTTGCCAGGTGCAGTGGCTCAAGCCTGTAATCCCAGCACTTTGGGAGGCCCAGGCAGGCGGATCACGAGGTCGAGAGATTGAGACCATCCTGGCCAACATGGTGAAACCCCATCTCTACTAAAAATACAAAAATTAGCTGGGCATGGTGGCACGTGCCTGTAGTTCCAGCTACTCAGGAGGCTGAGGCAGGAGAATTGCTTGAACTTGGGAGGTGGAGGTTGCAGTGAGCCAAGATCGCGCCACTGCACTCCAGCCTGGTGCCTGTCGATGGAACAAGACTCTGTCTCAATAAATAAATAAATAAATAACTTTTTAGAAAGCAGTTCAAAACCAGCCTGGGCAACATAGTGAGAGCCCCGTATCTAGAAAAAAATTTTAAATGTCTGGATGTGGTAGCTCATGCCTGTAAGCCTGATACTTTGGGAGGCCAAGGCAGGCAGATCACTTGAGGCCAGGAGTTCAAGACTAGCCTGGACAACATGGCAAAACTGACTCTGCTAAAAAATTTAAAAAAAAAATTAGCTAGGTGTGGTAGCACATGCCTGTAATCCTAGCTGCTTGGAGGCTGAAGCTGGAGAATCTCTTGAACCCAGGAGGTGGAGGTTACAACGAGCTGAGATGCCATTGCTCTCCAGCCTGGGTGACACAGTGAGACTTCTGTCTTTAAAAAAAAAAAAGGCCAGGCGCGGTGGCTCATGCCTGTAATCCCAGCACTTTGGGAGTCCGAGGCAGGTGGATCACAAGGTCAAGAGATCGAGACCATCCTGGTCAACATGGTGAAACCCCGTCTCTACTAAAAATACAAAACATTAGCTGGGCATGGTGGCACGTGCCTGTAATCCCAGCTACTCAGGAGGCTGAGGCAGGAGAATTGTCTGAACCCAGGAGGCGGAGGTTGCCGTGAGCCGAGATCGCGCCATTGCACTCCAGCCTGGGTAACAAGAGCGAAACTCCGTCTCAAAAAAAAAAAAAAAAAAAAAAAACCCACAAATTACCCGGGCATGGTATGTTGGCATGTGCTTGTAGTCTCAGCTGCTTGCATGAGCCAGGGAGGTTGAGGCTGCAGCAAGCTGTGACTGCAACGCCACTCTAGCAAGTTCGATGTTGTTGCATGTAGGAGTAAAGAAAGACCGAACCAGATTAGCTGTGTTCAAATTCAGGTTCCATCTCTACTAGCCTTGTGACCTTGGGTAAATCAGTTAACACAGTGCTTTAATTTTCTCATCTATGGAATGGGTGTAATTAGTAGTATCTACCTCAAAGGATCATTGTGAGGATTAAATGAGTTATATATGCAAAGGATTTAAGACAGGACCTGTCATATAATAAGGGATATATGTGTTGTGGGGTTTTTTGTTTTTTTTTTGTTTTGAGACGGAGTTTTGCTCTTGTTACCCAGGCTGGAGTGCAATGGCGCAATCTCGGCTCACCGAAACCTCCACCTCCTGCGTTCAGGCAATTCTCCTGCCTCAGCCTCCCGAGTAGCTGGGATTACAGGCACGTGCCACCATGCCCAGCTAATTTTTTGTATTTTTAGAAGAGATGGGATTTCACCATGTTGACCAGGATGGTCTCGATCTCTTGACCTCGTGATCCACCTGCCTCGGCCTCCCAAAGTGCTGGGATTACAGGCTTGAGCCACCGCGCCCGGCTGTTGTGGGTTTTTTTTGTTTGTTTGTTTGAGACGGAGTCTCTGTCTCCCAGGCTGGAGTGCAGTGGCGCAATCTCGTCTCACTGCAACCTCTGCCTCCCAGGTTCAAACAATTCTGCCTCAGCCTCCCGAGTAACTGGGATTACAGGTGCCCACCATGCCCAGCTAATTTTTGTCTTTTTCGTAGAGACAAGGTTTCATCAATTGGCCAGGCTGGTCTCGAACCCCTATCCTCAGGTGATCTGACCGCCTCGGCCTCCCAAAGTGCTGGGATTAATTACAGGGTTGAGCCACCGCACCTGGCACATTTTATCTTTTGGCAATTATTTTTATTTTTCTATATTAGACTTCTCTCTCTCTTTTTTTTTTTTTCTTTTTTTTTAAGACA